GGGCCTATATATAATATATATATGGGCCTATATATATATAATATATATATATATAATATATATATATATATACTTAAATTGATAATTACGGCAACTCTACACTGTTTATGAGTTTTTAAAATTATATATAGGCCTACATATATATTTATATAGGCAATAAAGGGGGAAATTATTAAATTATTGCTGGAAATACTAAGGCGTAAGTTACACAGCAAGAGAAAAAAATTTCTGACAAACTATTCCTTTATCGCTGGCAAGTGTGTTATGTATACATCAAATCAGGGACACCTTATTGAACGGGGGAATGTGTGTATGTGACATGCCTAAATATGGTCATGATGACCATATATAGACACATCATGACTACATATATGGGCACATCAAGACTATATATGGGCACATCATGACCATATATAGGCCCATCATGACTATGTATGGACACATCATGACCATTATAGGCACATCATGACTATATATAAGCACATCATGATCATATATAGGTACATCATGACCATATATAGGCACATAATGACCATATATAGGCACATCTTGACTATATATGGGCACATCATGACCATATATAGGCACATCATGACTATGTATGGACATATCATGAACATATATAGGCACATCATGACTATATATAAGCACATCATGATCATATATAGGTACATCATGACCATATATAGGCACATAATGACCATATATAGGCACATCATGACCATATATAGGCACATCATGACCATATATAAGCACATCATGACCATATATTATAGGCACATCATGACCATATATTATAGGCACATCATGACCATATATTATAGGCACATCATGACTATATATGGGCATATCAAATAAAATAATAAAAATTAATGTTATAGTGTGGACAGGCTTTGATGATGAGCTTACATGATGACGTGGTAAACAAAAAACGTGAAAAACATATAACAAGTGACAACGCTGACGTATTTCAGGAACATGAATTTAATTAAAAAAACGAATATTTAGTCCTGTCCTCGGGACTTTGTCAACGTGATTAAGAAAATCATGATACGGTGTACAAGAAAATTACACTTCTTTATGTACTTATCTACCGTGTCATTTTTTTTTTCATTTAGGTTGAGAAAGTCCTTAAGGCAGGTGGCAATGTACATACTTCATATTCCTGAAATACGTTAACCTCGTGACTTCAATTTCTCTTGATGAAGATGAAAATAATAGTGATGATAACAATGATGGTGATGATGACAGGAAATTGATGATGATGAAGATGAAGATGCTGGTGATGACAATAATCATAAATATGATGATGATGACAGTAATCATAAATATGATGATGATGATGATAATGATTATGATGGCGTGTGGCTTTAATATTCAGACTACTAAGTACATGGGCGTTTTAGAAACATTAATTACAGGTTCTTTTTCAGAATATGATTTTATCTGTCTTCAAGTATACATTTATGTTTCTCAGAATATGTCAAATGTTTTAACATTTCAGATCTGTTTATTCCTTTTTCGAAAGGGCGAATCCGAATTGTTAAAATATTGATGAGATCCTCTTACCTTTAGGCATACTTATAAAAAAAAATGAATGCATTGTAATAGGTCTTTCATCTAGAAAACAAGACCACATCGTCCTCACTGATTTGAAATATGTTCAATATAAATATAAAGGGATAAACCCTCAACCGTATTGCAGCAATGCCTTTACGGTTACGGCGTTTACGGTAAAAGATCGTGAGCGTGAAAACAATCGCTCCAACCAGGATTTGAACTCAGGGCTTTGCTCTCCTGCTGAAGTTTTTCCATTAGATAGGCCTAAACTGATATTATTGTGGGCCTATAATAGGTATCTAAGGTAGTTAACTTACTATACGCTAGTATTTCCGATATGTGTTAACATTTTCTGAAACAATTTCAAAATGTATATATTTTTTTTTGTATAGCATTAAATTCAAATAAGATCTTGTACAAAAAACAGTATAAATGTGTGAAAATCCGTCGTAGGCTGTAATAATGGTTAAGTCATTGCCAAAAAAAAAAAGACTGCAACCTTACTATAAAACATAATTTTATAATATTGCTTTGAGAACTTTTATCACGGATACTTATTATGAAAGTGCAGCACATTTAATTTGTTTTACGTCTGTTTAGTAACAGACCTATAATAATGGATACAGTAATAATAATCATCATAAGATAATTATTATTGTTTTATTTATTATTTAATTATTATTAATTTAATTTAATAGAGTTTGAATAACTTCAAATATGTTTATTCTAGACTGTTATTGTGTAATATTGTTTTACCTACGTATTGAGACGTATTTAACTGTTTTGCGACAGGATATAACATGCACTTCACGGCAGAGTAACGTAAAATAACGTACTGTACAACATTTGGTTTGTAATTCATGTTAGATGTAGTCTAAAAGTAATATAATACATATGTGTTGTCAAAATTACAATAGGTTTTAATGTAATATATCAATTGATATTGAGGATCATGTGCTGAGTATAAAGTATACAAGTTGAATATATATTTGTGCTAAACAATGGCGAGTCAGCAGTAACAAACGAGCAAAACTTCTTCAGATTTCTATGTATCTCTAACAAGTAATGTATTCTGTAAGATACGTGTAATTGGCGTCGTTCTCTATTGATTTTTCGCATCTTATCAACAGTATCGGAATCCCAATTAACTTCACCAGCTGTGCTTCTTTCGAGGTAATTTTGTCCGACGGATAAAAGATAAAATCGTACGCATTTAACTAGCTAACCTGTACTTTATATACATTGCGTCAGCGTGTAGAATATTTGTATACAAACGCCATGAATTCGCCGAAAAAATTTTCCTGTCCACGTGACCTCTAGACACGTAGTAGCTGACATTGGTGCAACTCATTGCATCATCTAAGCCTGATAACTGGCGATTTTTGCAGCTCGTTGTCTCATCCAGACGTGTTGTCTCATCCAGAACTGATGATTGGCGTTTGTTACAACTCACTGCCTCATCTAGACGTGTGAGTAACTGGTATTGATGCAACGCCTGCATCATCTAAACATGATGATTGGCGTTTGTTGCAACTCGTTGCCTTATCTATAATCTAGACGTGAAAGTGATAAACATTGATGTAACTCTTTGCTTAAAACGCGGTAGTGAATGACAACACTGTGTACTCGTTGCATTATTTAGACAAGGTAATGACTGAGCTTGTTGCAACTCATGCCTCACTATGCAGTGACTGGTATTAATGCAACTCATTTGCCTCATCAAGGCGTGGTAGTGATTTACAAATTGTGCAACTCGTTTCCTCATCTAGACATAATGGTGACATGCTGACATCGTTGCAACCTGTTGCCCCATGGTGGTGGTGGTGGTGGTTGTTGTTGTTGTTGTTATTGTTATTGTTATTATTATTTTTATTATTATTATTATTATTATTATTATTATTATTATTATTATTATTATTTTATTATTATTATTATTTTATTATTATTTTATTTTTATTATTATTATGACTGACATTCAAGCAACTTGTTGCCTTACCTAGACGTGTAATTATCGACAAATTAATTTTGAAACTCGTTGCCTAGACGTGGTACCGTAGTGATTGACAAATGTTACAACTAGTTGCCTCCGTTAGACGTGGTAGTGATTGAATCCCGACACGATGGCGTGCATTTAGATACTTGGAGTATATATTATACTATCTTATCTGAGATTAATCTGTGGACCTTCAGTGATTGACAATTGTTGCAACTCGTTGCCTTATAGTGTTAGTGATGCAACTGGTTGCCTCATCTAAACATAATGACTGACAATGATGTAACTCGTTGCCTCGCGTAGATGCGTTAGTAATTTTCGTTGATGTAAACTTGTTGCCACCATCTAGACATGGTAATGGCTATCATTGTTGGTACTCATGGTATTAGTGACTGGCATTGATGCAACTGGTTGCAAAATCTAAACTTGATGACTGAGAGTGTTGTAACTCGTTGCCTCACCACCTATACGTGTTAGTTAATGAAAGTAATAACTCGTTGTTGCATCTAGACATAATGACTGCAAATGATACATTTTGTAGTAACTGGCATTGATGCTAATCGTTGCCTCATCTAGACACGATAGTGACTAACATTGGTGTAAGTCGTTTTCTTATCTAGAAATGTGGGTGACAAGCATTTATGTAACTCGTTTACCCAGCTTATGATAATATAAACAATCAATTAGCAACTCACTGCAATATCTAGACAAGATGTAACCCGTGTCCTCATCTAAACGTAAAAGTAATGAATGAGGTTGCCTCATGACTGATAATGAAGCGACTTGTTGCCTCACCTAGACGTGGTATATTTTGAACGTGCGACTCTATTCAGAATCTTACGTCATTAACGTATCATCGGTATCATTACTACGTAGTTTTGATATCGTTTTTACTATCATTATTTCTACATAATCACAAAATGAATAATATTATTAACAGACGTGTGTGAGGCTTACATTGATGTTATGCCGGCCTTCAGACACGTTCACTTTGTTCGAAAACATAGTTTTATATTGATAACGCTTTGCAGAAGCATTAATCATTTCAAATCCGAATTACATGAAATTTTATTGTTTTTTGAATATACAATATAGAAATACATTAATATTTTAATGGACCTGTACATACCGTATTCACGAGTGCCTGAAGCTTTATATATTAAGCCTGGCACTCCCTGCGATGTACGACCATCGTACGACCATTAGCCGAGGAATCCAAATCCCGCTCCCTGTGAGCGTTAAGGCCAACTCAGACAGCGTCGGCCGACGCAGCCCGACCCGATTTATCGTCGGGGACAGTCTTAAGCCGTCGTAAGAAATATCCTGGAAATATTAAACACGTTTAATATTCTACTA